ACAGCATGGTACTGGCAAAGAAACAGACCTGAGGATCAATGGAACAGACTGGAAGACACAAAAACAATTCCAGGTGTACTTAGCTACCTCATTTTTGACAAAGGAGCTGACCATCCTCAGTGGAGGAAAGATAGCCTCTTCAAAAAATGGTGTTGGAAAAACTGGATCTCAACCTGCCAAAGATTAAAATTGGACCCTTATCTTTCACCATGCACTAAATTAAAATCCAAGTGGATTAAAGATCTAAATATTAAAACAGAAACACTAAACTTACTGAAAGATAAGTTAGGCAGAACTCTGGAAGACATTGGCATAGGAAAAGATTTTATGAACAAATCCTCAGTAGCATGGGAACTAGCAGAAACAATCAACAACTGGGATCTCACTGCAAAAGAAACCATCAACAGAACTAATAGAAAACCTATAATGTGGAAAAAAATTTTTACCAGCTGCTCCTCAGACAATGGACTATTATCTAGAATATATAAAGAACTCAAAACAATCAGCCTCCCCAAATATAAAGACCCAATTAAAAAATGGGCATCTGAAATGGATACTTCTCAGACAAAGAAATAAAAGCAGCAAGTAAATATGTGAAAAAATGTTCCACATCACAGGTCATTCAAGAGATGCAGATGAAAACAGCACTGAGATTCCACCTCACCCCACAAAGAAGGGCTACTATCAAGAAATCAAACAATAACAAATGTTGGCAGGGTTGTGGGGAGAAAGCAACACTTCTCCATTGTTGGTGGGAGTGCAGATTGGTGCAACTACTATGGAAATCAATATGGAGATACCTCAAAGAGCTGGGACTGGAGGTTCCATTTGACCCAGCCATCCCTCTGCTGGGTATCTTTCCAAAAGAACTAAAAGAATCATACCACAGTGATATATGCATACCCATGTTTATAGCGGCACAGTTTATAATAGCTAAAACTTGGAAACAGCCCATTTGCCCATCAGTTGGAGACTGGATAAAGAAGATGTGGTTTTTCTATAAAATGGAATATTTCTCAGCCATAAAGAACAAGAAACTAGATTCACTCACAGGAAAATGGATACATATTGAGGATATACTCCTAAATGAAATAAATAAGTCACACATGTGTAAATACCGAATAGTTTCTCTGGTGTGAATAAACTGTAATAGTACATAAGATCCTAATGAGATGACTGACATTGTGAAATGGGAAGAAAAGGTCTAAAGGTGTAGGGAAGGTGGGATTGATAGGGGAAGGGTAATAAGGGAAAAGAAATGTGAGAAAATGAAAAGATGGAAATAAAGTGTTTAAATGGGGAGGGGAGGAGGGGGAAGGGAGGGCAGGGACAAGGGGAAAAAATGAGAAAAAGGAGAACCAAGACCTGATGTAGAGGTACAAGATCCTAACAATGAATGTAACCGTACTGTATCCCTAAAATGTACCAATAAACTCAATTAAAAAGAAAAGAAAAATATCTCACAAGAATTTGATCTCCAGTACCAAAAAGAAAAAAAAGAAACAGAAAAACCTGATTAAGTTTGGTTAGGACAAAACAGAGAGAGCCGGATAGGTGGTACAAGTCTGTAACCCCGACACATAGGTTGAGGCAGGAGGTTCTCAAGCTCAAGTCCCAGCTGAGGCACTTAGCAAGACTCTGTCTCAAAATAAATAAATGAAGATTTAGCTCAGCTGGCTGAGCACAGTGCTCCTTAATTCAATCCCCAGTTGGGCGGAGGAGACAAAGTAGACAGTGAGATATGAGCAAGCAGGAACATTTGGTCACTTTTACCAATTGAAAGCACAATTATGTTAGTTTTAGACTGTGGGTTCAAATTCAAAAGATCACTCTGGAGGCTGATGAGTTCATCTACAGAACACTGAAACACAAGAGCAAGAACACAGCCAATTACATTTTGGAAATAGAAAATATAAAACAACTCCATCCCCTGGACCTAGTCTCAAAAGAAAAGCCTATCCCTGCAGTAGAATAACAGTAGGAGAGGAAATGGGAAAAAGTAAGTACGACTTTGTATATTCAAACCATCTTTAGGTCCTGAATCATTAAGGTTCCTCCCACTTCAGACTTCATAGGCAAACCAGGCTCCCCCCTACAATTAGAAACGTTTACTGAATTTTCAGAGCACAGCCACTTGCCTACTGAATAACTCAAGGGATCCAGCAGGTGCTTCACACCCACCACTAAAAGTTGAGTGGATTTCAAGTGAGAGATGGATGCTTGGACATGAACTAGGAAAGCTGTTTAAAACTCTCAAACTATACACTTCCCTCAGTGTGATTAGACTGAACTGCTGAGAATTCAGTGGTCAACTAAACAATCCCAGTATTCAGATTTAGAAAGAGAAATTGCTTACAAAGAGTAAAACATAATTATTATCAAGCTTTTCATATGCAGTCAACAATGAACCCTCCTGGGGTTGCTCTGGTAGTCTGTGGGAATACAGAGATTAACAAAATAAGTTCCCTCCACTTTAGGAAAACCCCAAAATTCGGGGTGGGCATGGGGAACAGAAACTTAAAAGCGCCAGAACGTCTCATGTGGTGAGTGCTCAGGGAGCTGCGGTTAGCCCAGAGGGTCTCCTGAGCCTAGTGAGCCTGAATGACACCAAGCCGCCAACCAAGGTCTGTGGAAAACAGTTTTCTAAATCTAAAAAAAGGGAGCCCTCGGCCTGTAATCTCAACTTCTACTGAGGCAAGAGAGCTGCCAAGTCGAGGCCAGTTTGGGTAATCCTGCAAGACTCTCTCTCCGAATAAAGGGGCTGGGGATGTATCTCAGTGGTCGTAGAGCACTTGCCCAGCGTGCACGAAGACCAGGGCTCAATCCCAACCCGTGTGTGTGTGTGTGTGTGTGTGTGTGTGTGTGTGTGTGTGTGTGTGTGTGTGTGTGTGACGTGTAATCTACTTCTACTGAGGCAAGAGAGCTGCCAAGTCGAGGCCAGTTTGGGTAATCCTGCAAGACTCTCTCTCCGAATAAAGGGGCTGGGGATGTATCTCAGTGGTCGTAGAGCACTTGCCCAGCGTGCACGAAGAGACC